TATGGTATTTAGTTGGCAAAAAATAACTTTTACTAATTTAAAATTTAATCAGATGTGTTTGGATTAAGAGGAATCTCATAGTATTTTAAAAGAAAAACTGACCCAATGAATTGATTGTCAGTTTAAAATAATTAGGTTTCTGAAGCTCTAAAGTGTTGTTATTCTTTTAAAATTTGATTTCTCACAGCTGCAGAAAAAAGGAGTTTCTTACTGTATTGCCCTTGCTCCTGAGAGTTTCAATTTTCTCAAAAAATACACTTGAGGCAGTTTTCATTTTAAAGATTTCTTGACTGTGTAGGAAATGTGTTGATTGTTTAGCAGGCATTCTCCAAGCCTGTGTTACTTCCATTCTTCTTAAACCCTAGCACTTTTTACTTGTCTGCAGGCAGTCATGAAGTTTCATAAACAGTTATGGGAAAACTGGCATTTCAAACATCCAGTTGACTGTATTTCTGTATGGATTTTGACAAGGCCAGGGATGCTGTAGTATTTCACTGTAAGAAGAGTTGGTTATGGCAAAAGAGAGTTTCCCCCAGTGGAAGAGAGAAGTTCTTCACTTCAGTAACTAGTGTGTGAGTGTCACTGTACAAGTTTGCAAGGGCTGTTGCCATAAGATGCTCAAACTGAGTTGTTTAAAGAACACAAATTAATTTTCTTACTGTTGTGGACCCTCTAAATCTGAGGTCAATGTGTTGGCAGTTTGACTTATCCAGCAGGCCTTGTCTTTGGCTTGCAGACAGACGGTCGCCTTCTGTTTCCACGGAGCCCTTCCTCTGTGAGCTCTCATCCCTGGTGTCTCTTCATCTTCTTAAGAGAACTCCTGTGCTATTGGTTAAGGTGTCACTCCGACAGTCTCATTTTATCTCAACTACTTAAAATCCCTGTCTCCAATAGAGTTGCATTGTTAGATACTGGGGGTTAAAGATTAAACATGGGAATTTGAGATCACATGATTCAGTCCAAAATCATCCCTCTTAACTTTGCATATTTGCAGATCTATATGATTTCAGCTTGGAAGCTGAACAAAAGCCCAGCATCTAAGGCTAGGTATAGAAGATCAACTTCAACTTGTGAGGTCTACAGAGATGACACTGCAGAAGATTGTGGGACCAGATAGAAAAACTCCTACACATTTCTGCAACTTGATTCTGAGCCGCCCCTTCCAGCCTCACTAAGAGAAAGGTGGTCACGACACACAGGACTTCCACCTGTGACCCAGCTGCTCCCTGACCGCCCTGTAGGCTGTGCATCTTCCCAGTCAGTCTCAGAGGTTAGTTTCCAGGGTCTGTGACTGTTCAATGCTGAGTCTGCTTCTGACCCGCAACCAATATCCTTCTGCTGTTTGTTGGGAAAGTCTATGAGGAAGGAAGAAAGCAGAAGTTATTCCCTCTGTGCAACAGAGTCCTCTGTTGGGGCAAGCTTAACAGGGCATGTGTTAGCGATAGTAGTTATATAGTCCTTATGAACACCTTACAAAATAATAGAGATTTATTTTTGCCCAAGTCAAAATCCAAGATGGGGAAAAATTTTAAATGAGCCACTGTTTAAAATTATTCCAAAAGCAAATTTCCTTCTATTTTGTAATGCCATTATGGGGGTTTTCAGGTACTCATCTCTTGTTTCCAGGTACTTCTTGTCTTGAACAAAGAATTCAAGCAAAACAAGAAAAAACAGTGACAAAGTTTATTTGATAAGTGACGGTAAATGGTGAGGAACAAACTGGATGTGCAGAGAAAATTTGGGAATAAAAAAAGAAAAGGAAAAATAAAAGCGTACCCTGGAGGATACAGAGTGAGCTGCCATGAGCAAAAACCTCAGCAGTATGCTCTCCGTATTATTCTTCCAAACATAGCAGGAGCCCAGGAGAACTCCGTATAAAGAGCCTCCACAATTACTTGCCACACATGTCCTGGAATCTGGTCCTGTTCATTCCCCTAATCAGGTTTGGCACAGTGCCACAGATGGGAAACAGTTTGCAGCTCATACAAGTAAAAACCTGTATGGCCAAATCTCAGAGTAAAACACTTAACTGTAGCCCCAGTATATCAGCTCTAACTCACGGTCTCCAGTTATCTGCAAGAAGTTTTGGAAATGAAGATTTTCATGGGTTCTGTTAATTTTCTCATTGCTTTCCTGAGCACAGTTATTGCCTTCGTTTCTATTAGTTGAAAAATATCATTTCAGCAGTGTTTTTGTCTTCATGGAAGAATTACTAAAATATAACACCAGGGCCAAGGATTCCACTCAGCAGTGTAAGCACCTGCCTGGCAAACACAAGGTCATGAGTTTGATCAAGTAACACAATATAGCAAATGCTTTTTTTTTTTTTTTTTTTCATTTTTCCCCCATTAATTCAATATGTGGATAATGAGCAAGATTCCTAGTCATTTACAAAAAGGTTTATTTGAGACAGGATTTTGCTAAGTTTCCCAGCCTGGATTTGGGATTCTCCTGCCTCAGACTCCCAGAGTGCTGGGATTAAAGATATATAACGTGCCCAGTAGCAATTTCTTTTTAAAGTCCTATAGAGAGATAACCGTGCTATTGAAGGAGTCCTAATGTTTACAGGTCATTAGAATATTATGGATCTCAGAATTTATTTCAACATCAGTAGCTATTTCTTCCCTTGTTCACACATTTGTTATCATTTAAAGTCACGTAAGTACTTCCTGTATTGTTAATACTCTTTTAAAAAATCCAGGTATTTGCCTTACATCATCCTTCAGAAGATCTCAGCTCAGGCTGTTCCACAGGAACCTTGGGAAGATCGTACAGCCCTTTAATTTGGGGGAGCCATTGAGCTGGAAGCCTTTCTTAGTCTGTTCTCACTCGCTTCACTCCCCAACCTCAGCTTATAAAATGAAATTCCTTTAGAACTACAGTATATGTTGAAAATATCTCTAGAAGGCCCATCTGTTAGAAGATCTTGGTTGCTAGCCTGAGGCACAGCTGGAAGGTTTGGAACATTTAGCACAGGGGGCCTAGGGAAGGGAAATTAGGTCAGTGGGGACGTGCGCTTCATAGAGATATTAGGACTTCCCTTTTGTGTCTCTGTCTCTCTGTCTCTCTTTTTCTGTGTTTGTCTGTCTGTCTCTGCCTCTCTCTCTCCCTCTCTCTGCCTCCCAGATGCCATGAAGTGAGCATTTTCTTTGCAGTGTGATGCCCTGCACTGCCATAAGGCCAAACCACCAATGCCAAGTGACTGTGGACTGGAACTTCTTAAACCATGAGCCAAACTAAACATTTCCTCACTGTAAACTGATGTATCTTAGGTACTTGTAACAATAAAGAAAAACTGGCCAACACATAAACTAAGCATCAAAAGTGGGGCCATTGCTACAACCACACCAGATGATGTGATTCAGAAGTTTTGGGATTGATTTGCGGGAGGAGTTTAGAAAATTTTGGAGAAAAAGGTCAGAGAAAACATTGAATTCTGTGAGTGGAACTTAACAGGTGATGCAGGTGTGAAATTTGGAAAAACAGAATATTGATACGAATGTGGATGGTACATACTATACTGATGAGGTTTGGGACAAAAATAAGAACTCTATTAGGAAAAGGATAAAAGACCTCCTTTAAACTATGGTAAAGAACTTGAATACACTTTATCCATGCCCTGTGATTTTTGTGGGAAGCGGAGTGTAAAATTGGGGTGAAGGAAATTTTAAAGCAGCACAGCATTCAGGCTTTGCAGTGAGTCTTATTAGATCTTTTTGGCCAGAAACAGCAGCAAAAAGCAAAGTGGATAGATTTGAGGAACTTGCAGTTTGACAAGAAAAGCATGTATAAAGTTCCAGCCAGAGAGGGTGGTTGCTAAGGAGATGTGCTCCATTAAAAAGAAGCTAAATTCTTTGCACCAGAATAATAGGAAATATACTTTAAGGGCTTTTCAGGGTCCCTAAGACCCTACCCTTTGCAAGCTCAAGGGTAAAAAAGTATTAATGCATTTCAAAAGCATTCGTGGGTCACTAGAAAAATGTTTCTCCACACTCGATTGCCCAGGTACTCAGAAGCCACTATACAACCAATGGTTGAGGCTGGGTATGACTCGCATTATATCTTGATGTTCTCCTTATGATGTGGGTTTGCAGGGAGGTAGAATATAAGTATTAGGGAGTCATGAAGATTTCCACTGAGATTTTAGAGTAAAGGCTGAGAGGGTGAGCAGTACGTGACACAATAAGAGTCCCTTCACGTAGCTATGTCCACATATGGTTTGAGAGCTGAAGCTGCAATAGAGACTTCAGGGAGTTAGATTTGTCAGGAGTATGGAATGCCTGCTGAGCTACAGGCAGCACGTAGAGCCAGCCCAAAAGAATGACCTCATGGGCTGCAGCCATAAGTCATACATGTGGGGCTATCCAAGCTCTCTAGAGCTCACGTCCTGCCACTTTGGAGCTTAGATACCAGACAGAGCCACAAGATTTGTTTTGTTTGCTATTTTGTGTCTTGCTTTGGTCTAGTTTCCCCTATTTTCCTGTTATTTTTTAAAAATAGGAACATTTACTCTGTCCTCATATCTTGAAAATATGTAACTTGTTCTTGGTTTTTATAGGGGCTCACAGCTCAGAGTTTGCCTTGAGTCTCAGAGGAAACTTTAGACAGACTTTTGAGCAGTGCTGAAACTATTAGGGCTTTGGGAACTCTTGAAGATGGACTTGTATTTTGCAGGAGAATGAAATAGTTTGAAAATGACACCCAAAATCCTATAGGTTCAAAGCTTGGTCTCCAGCCTGTGATGTTACTGGGAGGTGGGTGGGACCTTTAGGATGTGCCTAGAGAAGGCAGTTAGGTCACTGAGTGTGTGCCTTTGGGGGAATACTGGGACCCCAACCCTCTCTCTCTCTCTCTCTCTCTCTCTCTCTCTCTCAGGCATTTCTGTGAATTGAGCAACTCCTCTACTATGTAATATGTGCTGCTCCTGCAATATGTACTGCTCCAGTGCATGTCCAAAGAACCAGGGTCAAAAAATATAGGATGAAACCAGCAGTCAAATATTTACTCCTCATAAGATGGTGGTTTATCTCAGGTGTTTGTTACAGCAACAGAAAGCTGACTAACAAAACTGATTTTGTTAATTACCTAGAAATTTTCTTGAATTTTAATTTTTTCAGTTTCCTAAATTGTAGTGAACACAGCAGGCAACTCTTAAATTGGGTATGTGATATTTTCCCCTTGAATGTTATTCTAAAATTAGGAGGAAGCAGCAGTGTGCCACTGACTCCCGCGAGTCTAGTCTGAATCCTAAAGCTAGGAAAAGAATTGAGGCTACACAGCTGAGGAAGATGGAAGGGGACCTCAAGGACATGGACTCCAGCTTTGCTGTTCTAGCCACCAGGTGTCTGAGGGAACCAAATCCCTGGGCCATCTTTAGAATCAATGGAAGAATTTGCAAACTGTCATATGGGGTTAGGATCAAATGCTTCTGCTTACAAAAGCAGAATACTTCTGCTTAGAACAGATCTCATTCTTCAAGGGAGTAGAAACTTGCTTACATTCAATAACCAAGCTCTGCTCGTTGTACATACACAGTCTCCATCCCATGTGGAACAGAGGAGTCTATGCTCCAAATCAGTGTTTAGTCTTGCAGGACCTGCAAGTGAGCTGGGTAGCACACACCTGAAGAGTGAGCAGGTGGCTTTGGCTGAATGGTGCAACTGTCTTCAGTCTGAGCTAAAGGAACTGAGGTCCTTGCAAGGGTGGACAGAACACGAGTACAAGCTTGCAAAAAAAGGAACTCATGGAATCCACTGGAAGAATCGATTTTTTTCTCATATGCAAGTAGGACCCATAAACTGCACGTTGGAGGGTCACATGGTTGAAGGCAGTTGCTTCCACCTCAGGTCAGCGTTATGCCAGGCCAAGGTGCCACGCCAAGGTGGGGATGTGGCACCAGAAGCCCAGGGGATCTGCGCAGCACAGCAGTGCCACACTTCTTTCCCCATGAATCTTAAGTTTCCAGTTCTCTGTGGCAAAGCAATGCAAGTTGAGTAGATTTAAATGACAGAAGTTTATTCTGTAAATGTCCTGATGCTGGACAGAAAAATCCAAGATGTCTGCAGGGCCATGCTCTTTCAGAACCCCAAAGGATATTCTTTTATTTTCCTTTTTGTTGTTGTTGTTGTTGCTGCTGTCTCTTTGTAGCTTCCAGTGGTTTGCTGGCAGGCTTTGGTATTCTTTGTTTTATAAACACATTACTCAGTCCCTCACTTTTACACACATTGTCCTGATGGCTGTTCATAACATCTTCCTTCTGTGTCTGTGTCTGTTTAGATTTCTCCTTTTTTCACAAGGACACCATATTTAATAAGGCCCATCATACCATAGTAGGATCCTTTCTAATTACTTCATTTTAACTTGGCTACCTCTTTCAAGGTCCTCTTTCCAAAGAAGGTCACATTCTGACAAACCTAGGACTTCAACATAGATATCAAGGGTCAGACATTTGACCAATAGCATTAACTATTCTCTCAGGAAAAAAAAAAAAAAAAGGGCTGTCAATGCATCCGCAGCTGGGATGCTAGAGGGAGAGGGATCAATGCTTCCTGGAGTTCCAGAGCCACATGTCTGATTTTTCTCTTTTCTTGTTCCCCCAGCAGACCAGTGTTTTAAACAGTGCTCTTGTCTCAGAGCCATGAGATAGCTGGAAACTCTGAATGGCTGCTGGCAGCTATAACGAGCTGTCAATACTGTGTATTCTCATGTAAGATTTTGTAAGTGACATGAGACGAAATTCTTACAACCTTTGCCACTGTGAGATCAGTTGAAGCTACAGTGGCTAGCACAATGTCTGCTGTAAGTGGTTCATGCAGTATTGTCAGGGCAGCCACCATCAGCTAGATTGTTATGCCAGGTATGATACAAAATGTCTTCATTGTTCTAAAAAGAGAAGAATTAAACAATTGTAGTGCATTTCTCTGAGTAAAGTGACAGAAGAAGCACATCCCTGCAGCCAGCCTCCCTTGTCCATCCTAGACTTAGGCAAATGCAAACATTCTTCATCCAAGTCATAAAAGATGTGGAAGAAGTCAGGCAGATAGGATGAAAGTCAGGGAAGGGGCAGTGCAGCAGAGGAAATTTGGGAGTTTTAAGGAAAAGGCATGTAATAGAATAAGATTGGTAGGTGAGATGAGCAGAAATGAAACTCAGAAATAGATGGGGCTGGTGCATTAGGGATATTGAATCTGAAACTGATGGAGTTCGCATTTTCTCTGCAGATAATGAGGACTCACAGAATAATTTTGAGCAGCTGAGAGTGAAGTTATCAGATTTACATTTTAGAGAATTTTCTCTGGTGATTGTCATGAAGGAAAGATGGAAGCAACCAGGGACAGACTTGGGTGCTTATAAACACCTAGTTTTATATTATCTCCCACAATGACTAGAAAATGCTACCAGTGTTTAGTGGGCAGAATCTAGAGATACTAAAACTCCTTTGCAGTGTTGGATAATACAGTGTCACAAATAATTACCCTTCATGTGCTTCCAGTGAGAAATGCTCATTAAAATAATGCGCAAATCAGAAGTATATGGCAGAACGGTGTTGCAGTTAGTTTTTGCCTACTGTTAAATTTTTTGTCCGTTTGCATTATACACTTTCTTTGGAGTGCTAGGAGGTATAGAACAAATAGTTTGAATGTTATTCATAATTCCCAGTAAGCTAACTTGAACATTTTCTTTCTCTCTCATGACAGCTTATTTAAATACGTTGAGCTATATTCTTATAAAGTGGAATACTGAATCTTCTAAAAAGTAAATCATCCATTGTATGTAGCACTTAATAACTTATTTGTGACAAATCACTTGGTATGTATATCGTAACCAATAATGCAAAAATCACTGGTCGAGAGAGAGACAGAGAAGACATCAATCACAGAAAACAAGCATAGAAGAAGAGAGGACTTGGAAAAACATAAAATCAGACTTTGGAGACCTAATCTATAAATTTCTCTTAAACTTAGGTGTTCAAGAGTCATTAACACAAAAGTCTCAATTCTCAGATATCACTGCAAAGCTACTGAATCAGAAGCCTTGCAGTGGGGCCCAGAAATCAAACAAAATCTCAGCTACTTCACTGATCCCAAGACACTCTGACCAGCACTTATCTTGGTAAAATACTCCTGTCAAGGATCTCCCACTTTAGACAAACACAAGAAGCTAAACTTACCTGTGACAGTAAAGTGACCCTCCTGCACATACTTACCACTTTTCCTCTGAAAAAAGTATCATCAGCCATTCAGCTTGCAGAAGTTTTAATGGCTATCTCCCTACCAGATTTTATACTCTTTAGGCAAACAAATTAGTACTTATGCTTGTAGCTTTGTTTTCAAAGAGTTACTTGCAATGAGCACCCATAAAATACTGCAGGAGTAAAATACTACCCACGATGGGCCATGGCCATGGCAGTGGAAGTCCTGGGTACTCAGGGCCTGGCTTTGCAAGGACCAAGAGGCAGTGTTGGTGCCTCTTCCTTCTGTGGAGGAGGCAGGCAGGACTTGAGGCTGGAAAGTCTCTTCTATTTTCAAGCCTCAATTCTGCCCCTAAGAGAGGCTCTAGTGAGAAAAAAAGGGAAAGGATAATGTGAAAGGTTGTAATGAAAGGAGAAATAAAAAATAGCCCTTGGCTTTTATACATGTGCTCGGTGCCAAGGTTTCACGCCCTCAGAAAAGCTGAACTTCAAACACTGATTAAGTGCAGCAAAGAGAGCTTTGGCTCCAGTATCACAACTCAGAAAGAATTAGGGCAGCACCAGCTGCAGACCACAGAACATCCTGTCTTTAATGGGAGCTCCTAAGGGGTAGGGATAGAGACCCTTGTGAACTGCCCCCTCCCCTTGTTGTCTTCACTGCAAAGTAAGATGGAGGTGGATAAAGCAAAGAGCTCTTTTTCTTCAAGAAATGTCATGGACATTGTGATTTTTATCCCCAGTCTCCTCCTCCCCATATGACTGCAGGCAACTGTGACTTCCTTTCTGGAAACACTTATTTCTATGTGAAAGTGCACATGATGGAAAATCACTCCATAGCCAGGTGAAAACCATACCCATGTTGGGCTTGCAGGTTATTTAGGATGCATTTCTCCTTCCTGATGCAGGCTGGCTTTTCTTTAGTCCTGAAACTTTAAAGAGATGAAATCCCTCCCATTCAAATGTGCTTCCTGGGCTTGTAGGTCTTGCTTAATTGAATATTAAGCAATTCTGGTAAACCTTGCTCCTGGCCAGAGCTGCCTGCTATGTGAAGTCCCAAAGAAGCAAAGTTGCATTTGGATTGATGATTTCAGCTTGCCTAAAAGATATGCTGCCTTTCCTTAGAATGCAAGCAAAAAAAGAAACTGGAGGCTGATGTTTTTCAGAAGAGACGACGCAGGCGTGTTAGATGCAGAAGAGAAGACAGAGAAGGCAGTCAGCGAAGTGGGTCTATTGACTGTCTACTCAGTCTTATCTTCCAGAGTTCACTGGAGCAGGAGCTGAGAGCCAGGGGCCAATCTATAGCCCCCAAGGCATCCATTGATTCTCCATTCAGTCAGGAGGAGGTTAGCTGACCCTTTGCTCTTCCTGTTCTCAGCTTGAACAATTAGGCCAATTAGCTTCTACCTTCCAAACTACCCTGGAAATAAAAAAAAGAACAGTTAAATTCCTATAAGCAGAATCTTGTGAAAGGAAGAGTTTTTTCATGAGCATGTATCTATTTGCTACTTAGGAATCAATATATCGAGTGTCTAGATATAATTTTTCTGTATTTGCCTACAAAACATTTATATTTCTAGGGCCCTTAATGGTTTTGTGACAATGATCTGGGAAGAATGCTTATCACTTATGTTTTACACACTTTATTAATGCTCAACCAGAAAAATCAGATTGATAAGAGCTTCTGGAGTAATAGATCTTTTTATATCTGCAAATGTGTATTGTTGAGGTGATGCTTTTCCCATGATGCTAAGCTCAGGATTGAGCGTCAGCCCTGATGCATCTGTATGGGAACCAGGAGAAGACTAGGGACTCCCTATAAGTGGATACAGTTATTTCTCACAAAGAGTATCATGGGCAGAATGTATCACTGAGCAAAAATATTAGTGGAAGAAGGACATAGTGCTATATGTGTGTGCAGGAGCCAGCAATACAGGTGCTAGAACTTTCTGAGCGAGGCTGAGCCTTGGTTTCAGTCTCTTCCCACCAAAGACTTTCACACAGCCTATCAAGCACACAGCCACTTGCGGTAGCCCTGATGCTAATGTGTGAGGGAAAGCTGATCCTCTGGGAAAGCTATGGAGATGGGACCTTCAATTACACAAGTTATTTTAAATTTTTAAAAAGGTAAAGAGTCTGTTTTTGCTTATTAAGTTATTTGCTTATTATGTTATTTAATACTTGGGAATAAAAAACCAAAACCCTTTTTCCCAAATCCCAGCCACCAGGTCACTGTTGAATCCAGTCTTCTAGACTGAAGAAACATGCCAATCACTCAGCCTTTTTTCATTGAGGCAGACCTTTTCGCTCTCTGTTGGAAATGCGAAATGTGAAAGCTTGAAATGATTGATGGCTAAGGAAAAAAGTAATATGCACAACATTTATGAAAACATGCACTGGGAAAAAAGAATGAAAAGAGCTTCTAGTCCTGTTTAACAAATTTTTGCAGTCATACATTATGAAGATGTCACCTAATTAACCTTAATATTGTTGAAAACGAACTCACTATCTCTTCCCTTTGCCCTCTAATTCTTGAACACTATAGTTCTGAGTCCCAAACCCACAAAGAAAAGCCCGGAATTGCCTCTGAAATTATTTTTTTCTCTCACCCTCCACATAGAAGTCTCTTACTTAAATTGCACAGATGGTAACCTGGTAACCTGCTAGACTGAGAAGTTCTAGCTGTGAAGGATGCATTCTAACATTAAGTGCACTAAGAGATTCATGATACAGCTCTTAATAATTAATTGCACTGAGACACAAAGTCGTTGTATAGCCAGCCAAAGCCAGGAGCAGCCTCCACAATTAACCTTCCTTATGCCAGAGTATTGGCACCGAAAACATCTGTTACTGCCAAATTCCTGGAGCCTAAACTTGTTTCCAGTAATGAATCACAGAATTATAAAAGTGAGATGTAAAAATAATATGTGGAGGCTTGCTTGCACCATTGGTCCAGGTGTATCATGTGCCATTGGCTTCTTTACTGAATAAAAATGATGCCCTAGTGCTTTATTCAATTAAATTCCATTGCTAGTTGGTCATCTTTCTTTTAACACAGACACTGTCATAATGTTTATATGGAACGTGTGTCACAGTGTTTATATGGTACTTCATCTTTGGTCTGTTTCTGCCACTGCTCACCCCATTCTCTCTCTTGGTTGCTTCCGTCTCTATTGCCTCATCATTCAAAGCTCAAGGGCAGCAGAGACTAGGAAGGCATAATGGGAAGAGATTTAGTATAAGAGTAAAGGCATGGCATCCAGGCAGACCAGGAACTGAAGACTGTTAGCAGAAATGTGAAGATCAAGTGGACACTGGTCTACTTCAGTCCGTTCTTTTTATTCTAGGCAGCAAACATGTCAGAATTGAAGGAGCAAGTCACTAATCCTTACTTGGAAAGGATAAGGAAAAAAGTGGAGCAGATAATTAAAGACTTGAAAGAAAAAAGGCTAAACAAAGGTGAACAGAGAATACTTGTGAATGTAGAAAGCAAGCTCAGAAATCGGAATCCCAAGTAAGATTTTGGTTAATCATGGAAGCCTGATGACGCTCAATTCAAGGCCGCAGCGCCTGAGGATGAACCAGATATCCCCTACCACCATCATTACGTTTGCTTTTTATCGCTTCCTGGTTTTTGAGAGTTGCCTCATATCGATATATCCATTCATTCTTGCTTTACCTTGAGCCAACAAATAGAACTTTTCTTGGACTAGATTATGTGTCTTCTCTCTTATGGGTAGTGAGAATGCATTTGCTCCTACACTATACCTGTTCTGTTCTCTACAGAGGAGTGATACAGTGTATCCAAAAACACCCTTGCATATTTCATCTTGTTAATAATGTGCCTTTGCTCCATTTTTTTTTGCAGAAAATATCTATTTCCTAAGGTTTAGAAATAGGAGAAAAATAAATTCATGATATAGAAGAATTCAGAGCAGATATAGCAAGGATCAACAGAAATGATGATTCTAGGGAACTTAAAAACACCTAGGAAGGGACTAGGGATTTAGCTCAGTGGCATAAGCATCTGCCTTGCAAGCACACGGTCATGAGTTTGATCCCTGGTTAAAAAAAAAAAAAAAAAAAGGAAGATCCTATGACACACATGACAATATATGTCTCTAATCCTTTCCTGAAAGACTGAGGAGGAGGAGGATTGCAAGTTTGAGCTCAGACTGGGCAATTTAGTGACTTTGTAAGACTTCATTTTAAAATTTAAAAAAATATGTAACCAAAGGGCCAGGGTTGTTGCTCAGTATGATACTGGGTTCAATCCCCAGTATCATAAAACAAAATATAATAGAATTTTAAATCCAGCTGTAGTGGGAAACACCTGTAATCCCAGCAACTGCAAGGCTGACGCAGGAGGATTGCCGCGAGTACAAGGCCAACCTGGGTTATGTAGTGAGTGTAAGCATAGCCTGAACTACATAGTGACACCCTGTCGCAAAACAAAACTAAAATAGAATTTGTAAAGTTTTTGAACTAATTTCAGTGAATGTATACAGGACATGTGATAAATGTTACAAAGTTGGAAACAACACTTTTTGAAAAAAATATTCAACTGAGATTTGAGGGTTTAAAAAGTCCTATGAACAATAACATCAGGGCTGAGGACGTTGATCACTGCTAATACGCCTACCTAGCATGCCTAACACCCTGACTTTAATCCTCAGTACTATAAAAACAAAAAGTATCATCTTTATATACTGATTCTTCATCCATATGATGGAATACTAGTGCTTATTCATGGTACATTCATATATATGCTGATCAAAAAAGAGTTATAGAAAATATTTTACATGTTATCCTTACCAGAATAATTATTGTGAATGAGCAAGATGACAGTGTGGAGAGTGTATATCCATGATGATTAATCTTCTTTTTCAACTTTATTGGAGTGAGAGCCTGGGAACTTAGTAAAGCACACTGTGATTGTGTCTATGAGAGTATTTCCAGTTATGATCAGCAGGTAGGACAGCAAGGTGAGGGCTGAGAGCAGCCCTGAAGGTGGACAGCACCATCAGCAAGTCGGGAGTCCCAGTGGAGCACAAGCAGGAGGATGCCCTCCAGGTAGGCTGTCTCTCTCTGCTTTCTGGTGGCCATGAGATGAGCAGTTTTATTCCACTGCAGCTTTCTGCCATGATGTCTGCACTCCATCACAGGCCTAAAAGCAATGGAATCAGCTGGCCATGCACTGAAACCTCTGAAACAAGAGTCTATATATCTTTGCTTGTTTAAGTGGCTTTTGTTAGGTAATTTGCACCCAGGGATGACAAGCTGACTCACACCCTTTTATATAAGAAAGGGAGGCTGCCTGACGGAATGTATTCATCCATCTATATTTTCAAAAAGAAATTATAACAATAGGTGAACTAGTAAGAATAGCTACCTACAGGAAGCAAATTCAGTACTGAAAATGAGACTTTGTGAATATAATTTATTTATATTGTGACTATAATTGGTTTTATTGCATAATATAAATAAGTATAATCTTCACAATTAAAGAACGAACTTAAATCAAAGAAAAAGATGGAAGTCCCTAAAATTTTAATATCAACTAAAGCAAATAAAGCTAACTTTGTATCAAATTGATGGCATAAAACATACATAAAAAAGAATTATGCCTAGAATTAATATTCTACCTATAGTGATTTGTCTACACTATATATCCTTTATGTTCTATGTTATAAAAACAAAAATATCAAATTCTATATACTTTTCAAAACATTTTTTCTACTGATAAAACTGGGTGAGGGACCGTCGGTGGCTGAAAAGATAAGAAGTATGAAATATAAATAACCTTTATTTTGGGAATGCGGGGAGAGACACCTCCAACCCCCTGGAGCACAGTATCTCCACCCTGGGCAGGCAATTTCTCCGTGGAACACGTGGAGCGAGGCACATAAGTAGCCTTGGCTTGGGGTGGAACCTAAGGGGGCATTAGGGATGCACAGGTAGCCCATTGTTCTTTGTTTGGTGTCAGAGGTAGATTCCTAAAGGTTGGGGAGATAGAGCTCCTTGGCTTTACCGACCACAGTATCTGGCCTGGGCCCAAAACCCTTTCCTCTACTACTAGCAATAGAACTAGTGTATTTATCAAAAACATATTAGAACTCAGACTTTTAGTAAAAGAGTAAAAACTGATAGATATAAAATCAAAGAACTATGATGCATATATTTTTCCCTAAAAGTACATGAAAGATACTGGTATTTACAATTCTAATTTAAGATTACAAGATTTAGTTTTTGTTTCTCATTGTATTTTGTCCACTATTAATCCTAGAACCAATAATACCTCAATAGCATGATCTCCTAAATGATTAGATGATAAAAATGAACTTATTGTTAATTTTCTTTAAAATATAATCAAGATATGATTGCCTTAATCAACTTCCCAAAGGTTAAAAAAATACCAGA